CTGATTGATTTGCGACTGAACAAATTAAAGTTATGTTGTTTTTACATGTTTGACCAAGCCTGTGAAGCAATTGGTATATTTAAATGTGCTGAACCAGTGCAGAGTTATCAAATAAATTTGTAAGTCAATACATTTATATCTGTGTTTAAAAAGCACAACTTTTTAAGTCAATACAGCGAAGTGTGTTTTTTTTTGTATCAGATCAGTGTCGGCCGAAACTAAATCTCAGATATCTGCGTCAGTACAGGAAGTGGGAAAAGTGAATTGGTGCATCCCTAGTGGAGAAACAAGGCAGCTTGAAACTCCTATGAAGAAGTGTGAGAGGCAGAGCTTAAAATACTCCTTTTCAAAAATAATAAAGCAAACAAAAAAAAAGGTGACTCAGAATCACAATTCATATTAAATATTGCACATGTAGCCAAAAACATTTCAAAATATGGAAAAATGCCAACATTTTACCTGGTCATGGTGCTCGATGGCCATGGTTAGGATGTTGAGCAGAATAGCACTTGTGATAAACCTGTTGAAGTATGTCCCTGTCACGAGCATCTCTAGCTTCCTACGGATAGGCAGCCAGCACCGGCCCTGGTGGAAAACAGAGTCAGGCCCTGGTTAGTAGTAGATCAAAAAAAAAGAAGAAACTTTGTTGGTGGGAATTTATTTACCAGCAGTGATGATTCCTCTATGTGGTGATGATGGGAGCCCAGCATGCTACTCACTCTAACAATTAAAGGGAACAATAAGAGCAACATGAATTCCCCAAGAACCAAGAAGTGCTTGTTTTCAAGCTGAACTCATTCTACATATTGAGTGCTCCTGAAATTCCTTCCTTTACAGAAACTAGTTTCATTTAAATAGTCCAAATAGTTTGGATGTATCTTTTTCTTTCTTTCCTACTTATGTAAAGGTTCTGTTCCTATCATAGGTTTCTGGTGCATTTCTATCCTAAAGAAAAATATATAAAACTTTAGATCAAAACGAGATATTAAGATACATGGAAAAACCTCACGAAAGCCTTATGTTATAGCAGAAAGTATGATGGCCACATCAGAAAGGCTAACAGTATTCAGTTATGCAGCATGAACTGATTAGTACATCATTGCAAGGTAAAGCAAAAGAAAAAAAATCCCCATTTCTCCTAGAGGGCTCCGCAGCTGAGTGTACATTAATGAGAAATAAAATAAACTTTTTTAATTTTAGCAAATGGCTGGGGTGAATCACAGAGTGAACAAAATTAACGGGGTCTGAATACGTCTCCTACCCGCTGTAAGCATCGGCTGATCACTGATCTCCCAAAAGTAAGGAAATCTTTGGCTATAAATCGGTTGGCGGATAAATCTGTGCACCCCTAGTAGTAATGTCCACATAGACTACATGTCCATCTCGCAAATAAAAGCTAAAATAGCTAAGCTAATTTTGCTACATCAGTACTAAAGTAAATATCAATGACATTCATCTCATTCTTACACTGAGATGAGTGTAGTATTCAAGTAGTTGTAATGTTCTTATATTGTTTATAAGCTGCCTAGGAATGACCTGAGAGCTAGTTGTAAGCTTGTGGCTCGTTTATTCTTCTCATAGCAACTCAGTAGCCACTCCCTGCCAAGATGGCTGTCAGTTACAAAGTTCATGAACTTTTATTTTATTTTCATTTATTTATTTATGTCATATTTTTGACAGGAACCAATAAACTATTAAATAAATATTGAAAGAATGATGTTTTATTTACAAAATATTAATTTATACTATAACAAATTTTGAGTTTAAATGACAATTATTATTCATTAGATTATTTATTTACTTATTCCTTAACTCTTGGAGTAAATAAATGTCCTTTATTCATCTATTTACAAACGATTATATTTCTAAGATGATAAGTTCTCTTTTTTTTGTCTGAGTTTTTCAGGCGGTTGTAGATTTTTGGCCCTTAAAACACATCCTCGATGTTTGTTACAATTAAAGGAAGGTTTATATTTATGTAACTCTAACCTTGAGACGAGTGTTGAAATCCTTGCCTTTATACCATGCCAAACTTCACGGAAGCTCACAGTTCCAGGAAACCTCCTTCCAGGCTCATGTTTCATGGCATCTGAGTAGTGGGTGGCAATAACAACGGCACATGTGTTCATTATGATGTAGGAGCCGAGCTGGATTAAGACATAAACAACAAGTAATTAGGTTGTAGCTTGTATGCGATATTAACTGTGCCATTCAATTCAGTTTGCTCTTGTGGGGGCCAATCCACAGTAATTGTACTTTGAAAAAGGTACTACAAAAGACAAACAGAGACATTATTATGTGATTTACAAATATACTGTACCCAGCTAGGTAATAGCAGCCATCGCTTTTAGTTGTGGTACACATACATTTGAACTTCTGATGGCAAAAGTTTAAATGACTGTGGACATTATGGTTAAGAAAAACCTCACAAAAGTTATGCATTCTCTAGCAAAACAAAGTCTGCATTCACTTGCAAAAGTATTGCATTCCCATGCAATACTTCTGAGTTCCCTTGCAATGTGTTTTGCGTTCTCTTGCAATAATATATTTACTGGTCTGTTCATGCAGCATCTTGAATACTGAAAGTACTTCTGCTACAATACAAGGTTTTGAAAAGCTTTTAGATGTATGTATGGAAAAAATGCATCCTAATTATTCAGCTAATGTTTTTTTGTTATTTTCGTGGGGTAATAAAGCCATCTGACAGTTTTGATTGTGTCTTTTTTGTGTTTATTTACCTGAATAGTTAATAATGGGCTGTTGTCACGTGCAGTTCTATGAATACACAGTTAACACATTCATTTTAACCAAAGAGTTAAGAATGTATAAGCACGCTCTTTAAAGGTGTACGTGTGTGTCCTTTTAAATTAGCATTTGTTAGTACTGACTGTATACAAAATAGGGTGTATTTGCTAATTTATTGCAATGGAACATAAAACTTATTGCAATACTAATGTGAGGTTAAAATAAAAAAAAACAAGAAAAGAAAAAAACCCTATAATCTACAAAAAAATGACATAACAAATCATTTACAGACGGGGAAATCTCAGTTGTTGAGCATTGCATACGAAATGTCCATTTTCTCTACAACCTTTTGCCCTGAGGCTTTTTTGAGACTCCATAGATTGCCAGCTCATACAGACAGAAACTTACAATTGTGAGGACGACGAAATACACAAAACTCCACCAGGAGTGTGCGTCCATCACATAGTACATTATGTCAGACCAGCCTTCCAGTGTGACGGACTGAAGAGAAAAAGACACAGAAAAAAATAAAGGGAAAAATGTAGCACAAAAAAAAAATGTCTGAAATGTGAATTGACTCTCTGGTAAGACGGAATGAAAACAAGATTTCGTGGGTCAGAGTTATAAAAAAAATTGGATGAGCACACAGAAGTCCAGTCACAAGACAGGACAGATTAGGTAGTTGTGTAGTTCAGATCATCCTTTGGTAAAGTTTACAGTATTTATAATTTAAACCTTGCATGTCTGCAGATAAATGCAAATCTTGAAGTGGTCCACTCTGAGCTAGACATTAAAAAGCAAACAGTTACAAGTACCAAAGTCCGCTTGTCTAATTTGGCTCATGGTATACACTCTATATTGCTCAAAGTATTCACTCACCCATCCAAATCATTAAATTCAGAAACCAGCAACTAGACATTGAGACTGCTTCTACAAACATTGGTAAAAGAATGTATCTATCAGGAGCTCAGTGAACTCTGTCCTTGGATGTTGTCTGTGGAACCAGACCATAGTGTCAACCTTATGCAGAGTGCTTCAGCACACCAAGATATTTTGCAGAATTTGATGCATCCAAATCTTCAGGAAAGCTCTGGGGATGAACCCTCTAGTTTCAATATGACCTGAATACAATGCAAGGTCAATAAAGACACGGAGGACTACATTTAGTGTGCAAGAGGTTGACTGGCCTGAGTAAAACAATGTTCTCTTCCAAAATCATAAATAGACTCCTGGAACTATAGTCAAACATTACAATAAACAAACCCCTAAACCCTGAAGCTGTTAAAACTGCAGGGGGCTGGCAGACAGCATTTTGACCTCTATGGATTGAGAAAAGGTCGTCACTCAGGTTGATACGTGTGTGAATTCAGAGCATTTAATACTTCTGACAACATAGTGTATATGGACAAAGTGACAGAGTGACAAATAAGAGGAAATATCTGGAACTCACCTGGAAAACGGCAATCCAGGAGTAGCCGATGTTGTCAAAGTTTATAGAGTTCAAGTTCGGGTTTTGTCCACTAATACGACATATGTTGTAGTATGCGTTCCAGTTAACACACTGACTACCGTTACGGGTTGAAGCAAGTGGATCCAGGTGGGGAGCGGGTAACGTACAGATGAGATTGCCGTTACGATTGGCAGGTATGTCTCTACAGAACCGCATGCCTTCGCTGAGGGTACAGATGAAGGGAAATCTTTCGCCAGGGACAGACCCGTAGCTCGGAGTTAAGTTGCTGTACATTCTGTGTTAATAGAAGCACATGAAAGATTCAAATTATATATATGTATATATATATATATAAAAAAGAATCATATTTCTGCAGTATGGCCTTGTTGTCCATTGAAAAGTTATTTTTTCTCAGTGGCAGAGGCTATCAACCTTCAGAGTTCAAAATGATTGGTGTGGTAATGAAAGATTAACCAGCAGGATATTGGGGTCTATTAAAGACACAACTATTTTACGGGGTTGCAGCTAGCAACTATTGTAGCAATCGATTATTCCATCAATTATCGGGCAATTAATCGAGTAATCAGATTTTTTAAAAATTGGTACATGCTGCAGATTTTTCATTCAACCACTTAAGCAGAGGTTATGTTATAGTACAGTATTTTTAAATAAGAAAATAAAGATTATATTGCCTAAAATGCATTAACATATCAGTCTTTTAGTGGGAATATGATCATTTGTTCCATCTACAGCTGACAAAATATGTCTGAGATCAACATGCGTGAACCTCAGTCCTTTCTTCTTCACCTAATATCAATACAGTTTTAGGAATTGTATTTATTTCTTTATTTACTTTTACAGAATTTTAACCTTAAAGTTAAAACTATGACACCTGAGGTGTCCTTGGTTGTATATGTTCTTTTATAGTTAGTCTTTGCACAGTTTTGGCTCAATAACAGCTCTGAGGGTGCTGTTCTTTCAGTAATTGGCATGTTTTACAATCTGTATACCAAAGTTAATGATTAATCGATTACTAAATTAGTTGACGATTATTTCGGTAATTGACTCATAACAATTAACCCAACCCTAGCTTCAATGCACAGTTTTCACAACTTAAATTTAGGTTTTTGCCTTTCATTTAATAGTATTATTTCTTGTTTTGTTCACATTATGACATAATAATTATTCTTGTCTCTTTTTTTTATATCGGATTGACACTCTTTTGGTACTATGAGCAATCTTCATTTAGCTCTTCTGATGATCTGTGAGAGACGTCAGGGACAAATCAAAAAGTTTTAAACTGGTGAATCATCTCACTGACTGAATAGTCCCAAAGAGTTTAATGAAGGCAGGAGAGAAGAGGAAAAAAAAAACATTCTGGAAGGTGTCTTACGCAAGCATCTCATCTGGCAAAAAGCAGCGGTAAAGCAGGTCCCCCGCCCACAGCTGGACTCCCACAATGGCAAAGATGTATATGACGAGTATATAGAGTAAGATTACATTTCCCAGCATGGGCAGGATCCCCACGAGCATGGTCACCAACTTGCGCATCTCTGCAGAGGTAAAGACAACTGGATAAGCTTCAGGTTTTTTGTCTCACCATAGATATCTATGGTTCCATGTTCAGCTTTAAAGGGGCAGCAATATGCGTTTTTCCATCTACGTAGTTATCATCTTAGATAACATTCAAGTGTCTATGTAACCTTCAGTTGTTATAAAAACCCCGTATAAGTCAAACATGACCTAATCTGACATCGTAATTTGACGCCCTGAAATTGGGCCCTCGTCATTTTTAAGAAAGCCCTGCTCTTTCCAATGCTCTGCCTTTACGAAGCCTCAACACTGCTCCTCTATTAATCCCTTAACGTTTTTTTTTTTTTTTTACCAGCGCTTCACTGAGAAGTTGCTCGTATAATGAGACGTGCAGTTTCACCAGGTGTTTGGTAATTGCTGCTGAAGGAGCTGAGTGGGGAAGTCACAGGGGAGGGCTTGCTCTGTGCGGCAGAAGCTTGGAAGCTCGTAAACTGCAGCTCGAGCTCGAAGGCGGCGCCGGGTCCACTCGGGTGTTTTGCACAGCTGAATGTTTGCCACAAGAGATTAAGGGATTTCTCAAACATGCATGAAAGAATCAGTGCAAGGTTTTTGATGTAAAAGCTCAAAAAAGTTGATTTTACATAATGCTGCCCCTATAAGATGTGAACTGACCCTCTGAAAGCAATTTGTAACCGATAGACTGGCATCGGTTAAATTTTATTTTACTTTACTACAATCTAATAAAAAAAAAAAAAACTGGCAGACATATTTCATGTGAAAATCCCATATAAATTTAGTTATTTCACTTTAAATGTGAAATCTGACAGATGGATGGATTCCAGAAAAATATTAAATAAAATCCATCTATTCATCCGTCCGTACTGTATAGGAATGCTGACCAGTATTGCTTTGCATCCACACGGTAAAGTGTGCAGACTACGGTAAATGTCCAAGTGACCGTCAAGATTACCTTCAATTCTGCTCAACAGTCGCAATGGGGAAACTGAATAGGAGAGTGATAGGTGTATCTCACAAAGTTCAAGAATTAAGTCTACAAGCCTGAGGAGAAAGTAGCAAACACAAAAAATATATATATTATGGAGGATTTTGATGTTCCGTCATGTCTGAAACATGAAACATGTTTCAGACATGTTTCATGTCTGAAACATTTACTTTGTTTCAGACATGGTTGACATTGCGACACAAAATTGACCTGAGTCTTATAGGGTTACTAACTCTACACAAATAACAAAGATGTCGAATCTGTGCCAGTTGTATGAAAAGTATCCTGAGAAGCCCAGCGCCTCCACTCTGATTACCAGCTCCCCAAAGAAGTAGGCGAGCATCATGCGGGATGCAACCTGATTGGAAACAAGTGAAATTCATGCATTACTGGCAGACAGTGACTATAGTTCAGGGTTGCAAGCGACTAAATGAGTTCAGCTGTAACGCTCACCTTTTGCAGGAGATGGTCGTCTGTGCAAGGCAGGTAAATTCCATGAATAACACAGCCAATCCCTATGACCAAAAGAGCCAGATAGCCTGGCCAAGTGTGTGAAGTTAAGGACAAAACCTAATAAAATTATTCAAATCGCAACAGAGGTTGAGACTTACAACTTACAACTTGCAGCCTGATTAGTCTAAAGAAAAATGGAGAGTAGTGCTAGATAGGTTAAATTAAAGAACACTTGTTATTTGACACAAATGTCACCTGAAGTAATTATCAATGGATATTGGCTAAAGAGAAACTTAATGCAGAACCGATGGAAGGTTGTGCCACTTGACTCTTCCACGGCCGATGTGGGCTCCCTGTTTTCTGGTAATGGTGTGATGACTGTTGCACTGCACTCGGTCATCAGTTGGTCATCGGTCTCAGTCATAGTGACGTGCAGCAGCTGAGCTTGTCCCTGTGTTGCAGTAAAAATAGAGATACTGGTACTGGCGCCCTGCTTTATCAAGTAGGCCTAATCTGGGAGGATGTACCTCAGAGTGACACAGAAAGACATGTGCTTAGCGAAAGAAACAGGACATTATGTGAAAGCATGTGTGTCTCAACATATTTGGATCAATTTGAACAGTCCTGCTAAATTAAAGAAATATAAAAATGATGAATTAATAATTTTTATTTATATATTTAACTACAAAAAAAAATCATTATTCAGACTTTTAATTGATCAAAAAACACAAACAATACCTCCACTTGTATTCTGGCCCAATAATGCATTTCAGCTTATTTATGTAGTGAAAATGTCGTCTTAAGGAACTTTATCACAAAAATAATTATTATAATTTCAATTCAATCATACATACTTTCCAATTGGTCCTAGTTATCATATGACCTTCATAGTCACCATATGCAGCTTTGGGTTATTAGAAAGTCCAGTGTTAACAAGATAACCAATATTTATATGTGAAAGAAATGAAACTCAAGTCAAGCTGAATATTAACTGTGGTCCTCTTGTTAAGGTGGACTGCTTCAATGGCCACCTTATCACACCCACTGCAGCACAAATACATTGTTTTTTGTTTGTATTTTCATTTGATAATATTAAAATACATTTGTTATAATTGTAGCACACATTTTTAGTTAGCTTTTGAACAAATGTAATTCTGTCAAACTTGTGGGAGAGTCCCTTTAGCTGGGTGAAGCCATGGAATCTGGCTGGCACACTCTAATCTCAGATTGACTGACTGGGTGAAACCACGCGGAGCTCCAACGTGCAGGGAAGAACGTCAAGTCTTTTTACTCTAATATTCTAATTTTGTCATTTGCTTATTTTGTTAACCTCATGTTTAAATTCAAATTCAAAAAGACTTTGTTGATCCCAAATTATATGTTGTTGTAGCTCATTAATTTGAAGTCCGCAAAGTGTCACGATGGTCACGACTATCGTAACGGTCTGTATTACAGTGAATTTGAAGAAGCCTCTGACTGAAGACACTCCGTTTTCCCAAGACAGTCTCGTGAAGAGGATTGGTCAGGGTTGTCCATAAATTTCTTGACTTTTTTGCATCATTATCTCCAAAGTTTCCACAGAACAGAACCAGCCTTCTTTATCAAGCCCTACTCAGCATATAAAACTATCACATAGCTTGCTTCATTTTGGAATTATTTGTATTCCTTAAAAATATCAACGCTTTGTCTAAAGACTTGAAGTAATTTTACTGTAATAAGAGTAATTGGTAATATGTTAGAATATGCATAAATTACCCATTTGTTTTTAACATGACAGATTATAAATTAGCATGAACTGGTTGACAGGTACATTTTAAATCCCTTTTTATCTTTACACTTACCAGACAAGAAGAGAGGATTCTCTGAAAGTTTGAACACAGCTATCTCAGTTAGTTCCTGCAAGTATTTAAAAACAAACAGTAGAAATCAGGTCAGTTAAGCCTATCGTCGTCGTGGTAATTACCATATCTGCACAATAGTGTGGTACTTTAACCATTTTTTTTTATAACAAAGAAAATACACACTTGTCTCCACTATTTTGTTTTTAGAACCATCTTCAGGACATAAATCCAATCTAAAATACAAAAGATTTTTGCTTAGCGGACAAAAACGGGGCGTCCTGGGAACCCCAGTGTGTTTTCTATCATATATGGGTCAAGTTCAAAAGTCCTGAAACATATAAACAAATTATTACATCTAAAGAAAGCTCATTTTTAAAAGGAAATTACAATAAAATACAATAAAAATGTTACTCAGACTTATAAATTGTAAAATTATATAAAAAATAAATAAATAAAACATCCACTTGTGTCCTCACCCAGTAACAGACCTTAATAGTCAGTGTACTATTGAACAGATACAATTTCAAATTAAAACTCTGTTTTAATTATCTTTACGCTTACCAGACAAGAAGAGGGGGCTTCTTTGGTCCCACACTGAAAGTCTGGACAAAATCAACTAATTCAATTAATTTAAAAACAAACAATAGAAATCTGGCCAGTTAAGTCTGTTGTTGTCGTGGCAATGTCCGTGTCATATCTGATATCTTAAACATTCTGTTATGTTTTCAAATATTGTTTTTACACAGACAATAAACAAGCACAGTCTACAAAAAATAAATAAATAAATAAATAAAAAAGTGTCTTCAGAACCATTTCCGGGAACACAATCCAATCTAAGATACTTAAAGAAACATGGACATTCTGTGAAAGGCAGATGCGTTTTAACAGTCCTGAAAATTCAAGAAGTATAAACAAACTACTTCAACTGAAGAAAACAAAAGTTTAAATTTTCAATAAAATGCAAGAAAAAATTTTTATTCCTTAAAGTCACACAAATGAAACACCCACTGGTACTCTGACCCAATAATTGTCCTTTTTGATAGTTTTAGCTACACCCTCCACTGTCACTGACTCTTGTTCTCCCTCAGTGCATCTTCCTCAATTCCTGAAACAGTTGCAGCCAGGTGGAGGAATGCCTGCAGTTACTCTGCCACTTTGGCCCCCTTCCTTCACTTCTATCCCATACCAGCCTTCTGACCAAATATCCCTCCCTCACAGCTCTCTCCTACACTCCTCTTCCCTCCACACAACCTCCTCCACGCTTTACGACGCTCAAACTGTGGCCAGCCAGTCAGACAGTAAACAATCCAAAACTCAAGGCGGGGGGGATCCACCTGCATCCCCGACAGCTTCTCACCCAGTAGAACCAAACGGATGGTGTTGAATGCTTTGGAGAAGTGAAAAACATAATTCTCACAATGCTCACTGACTGGTCCGTGTGAGTGTACACCTGGTTGAGCAGGAAGATGATGGCATCTTCAACTCCAAGCAAACTCCAAGAGTTCCCGGTGTGGTTTGGCCAAAGGCCGGAGCTGCTCTAGAACAAGTCTCTCCAGGGTTTTCGTGACTGAAAACCCTGGAGAGCTATATTCCTCGGAGGTCAGGGACACAACGTCTTCCGCACTGGAATGACAAAGGCTCATGTTGAAGATGGAGTACTCCACAGAGCTGAGTGGCACAGGCTTTTTGAGCAACCTTGGGATCACACCGTCAGGGCCTGCATCTTAGCCAAAGTGCAGTCTCACCAGTTGTCTTCTGACAAGAGGTGACCAGCTGCAGGCTTGGGGCAGGGGCACAGAGTAGAAGAGGGGCGGATGAGGTGTGAAGGTGGAATTTCCACCAGAACAATTAGCTCTTCTGATCTTCACCTTCAAGCACCTCTGTATTGTTCTCACCTCATCCCTGTTGCAATCTCAGCCGTCTTCTATTTATTGAGAATGAATATCTTACTGCGTTCACATTGAAAAAAATAAACGTGCAATTGTTTCAACATGGGATTCACAAGAAGAGTAATCAATTACAAGCTTAAGTTATTCTAATGTCTTTTTCACTGGATAAGTGTAGTGTAAAATTTTGAAGGGAATGTCCTTTACCTTGTGGTTAATAGAGTATTTTTCTCCTAGTCAAGATTATTTGTAGCACATTTCACATTTGTAGCAGTTCAAAGTGCTTTACATCACATAATCATCAATTATAAAACAAGAAATAAATATTACATTTTGTCAAATGCCATCACCAAAATCATCAAATATACTCATCAATTTTCCAGTTACTGCTACTCAGAGGCATTTCTAAATAAGTGGGTTTTAAGACTTGGTTTGAAGGAACTCGGCATTTCAGCTTTTTGTTGTTGTTGTTGCAGTTTTCTGGAGGTTTGCTCCAGATTTGAGGTGCTTAGAAGCTGAATCCTGCTTCTCTGTGTTTGGTTTTGGTTCTGGTTTGGTTCTTGGTTGATACAGAAATTGGTTGATACTCTGATCAACCATCCTAGTTTCCAATAAATTTCACTACATAGAGCAGACCAATAGGATCTGCCTAAGGGGAGAGCTTTGTAAAAGTGGTGGAGGTAGACCACCAGCGCAAAGTTCAATGTCCGGGAAACAGATTCGCTCCTTCATGGCAGCACGAGCAGGATTACACCAACGGTTGTTCACTAGAACGAAAAGCCCCAATCAGTCTCTCAGTCCGCCCGAACCATCTGCTGACCCATAATGGAAACATTGTCGTCAGGAATATCCTGGTGCAGCCATGTCTCCGTAAAGCACATCAAACTATACTCTCGGCTGTGACTTCTGGCTGGCGCTGTTATGTCCATCTTGCTAACGAGCGACCTTACGTTGCCCATAGTAACGGAGGGGAGAAACTGCTTATATATCATCTTATCAATAAGCCTCCATTGTCTCTCTTTTTTTTTTTTTAATATTTTTTTCCTCTGCTATTTGCCTCCTCCCCAACAACCCTGCTGCGTCCTTCTCCAGGTCTCTTCGGGAATTTCTGTGGCTCTCGACACCTTGCGGCTTTCGCGCAACCAGCTGATCCAGGCTGTGAGCAATGCGACCAAGTTGTTGTACCCGGCAGAGTGAAAGAAATGTAGTTATTTATTTGCACCAGTATGCTAGAAATGGAGCTTCACGGCTACGTTCAAAAACAAAATTAAAGTAGGAAAACTCAAATGTAAGAAGGCGAGCAGGAGTAACCGCAACAGACTGCACACATTAGCATTAGCTGGTTAACAGATACATTTTCAAATTAAATCCCTGTTGTAATTAGCTCTACACTTACCAGACAAGAAGAGATGATTCTTTGGTCGCACAGGCACTTAAATTGTGGACAGAATTAACTATCTCAAAGTTCCTGCGAGTATCAAAAAACAAACACATAATAGAAATCAAGCCGGTTAAGTCTGTAGTTGTCATGGTGATTTCCGTGTGCAGCAGAGCAGGCACGTGCAGGGGGTGGCGGGCGGGGTTTGAGCACCTTCACCTTTTATCCTCCATACCCAGATGGTCCCTTTTAGAACATTTGTGGAATTTTCTAAAGCGTGTCTGCAGATCTGTCTGTATCCCCCAACAATCTTAACAATTTAGCTAAATTTGGCAAACATGGCAGGGGCAAAGGATTTTATTTCAACATCGACCTAATTGTAAAAAAACAACAAAAAAACGTATGTGATGTTAAAGTTACAAAAACAGTTTTTATTGATAAGATAATTTATCAAATAAATTACCAAAAATATGTTCAAATGGTAATATCTTCCTGTGGGGTCAATTTTTTGTGTCTTAATATCCCTAGTTAATTTTTTTTTTTTTTTTTTTAATTTTGACTACAATTTTATACCAAAGAGAGCCAAATGAATGGACAAATAAAAAAATCATATTTTGTCAAAATATTGCTTAAATATTCTGAAACTGCCATATTATAAAAGGATAATATGTGTAATATTATCCTTTTATTTCCACATCCATATATCACATCCTTTCTCAATTAAAAATTAACATCAATCTCACAACATTCCCTAAGTATCCTCTCTTCACTATGTCTATTTGCAGAATAATATGCGCTTCATCATTTTTCTACAATAAATCGCAAGGTTCATGAAACTGACACATACTCAGAAATGTAACAAAAATCTAAAATGCCTCAAATAAATGTCAATAGGACTTCCAGGTTTTGCATTATTATTTTGCTATCTAAATTCTATGTTGGCTACAGGTTCAGCGGGTTTGGACACCCCAATGAAAGGGGGTGTCGTTTGGAGCTCGAGCAGTCCTCTATCCGCTATTCACTCTGATGTCTGTCATCATCTTTAGCCTGATCATTTTCTCCTGGCAGCTGTCTCCTTTTTTTTTTTTTTTTTTTTTCTAATTTTTCAACTTATATTATTTAATTATTAAAAATATATGTTGAATTTTGAATAAAATGACC